AAATCTGGCCATGGGAGGGGATTCCTATGAGTCGACAGGATATACTCAGGATTTTAGATAAAGAAGGATCCAAATGGGACAACAGACCTGAGGAAGAAGTATGGAACCTGAGGTCCGAGATGATCAGTGAGGAATGTCTTTGGAGAACATTCAGAATATATCATGTATTTGGGTGAGATCCATTGCAAAAATTATTTAGTTTTAAATAGCACACATCAGTAGTGGATCCCTACGTGTCCACATTTATATTGGTCGAGGTCCAAAAGATCACAGTGCTCATATATAGAGAGAGAAAAATTGTATGAGTGTCCCACATGAGAGCCCAATCCATTCCAGGATAAACCCCAAACTGCGAAATTTTGGAATAAAACCAACTATAAATTAGAAAGCCAACCTCAATTTTGGAGAGCCCCAAAAAGTATATATTGGCTGTGCGGAAAAATGGCATATCTAGTTCTGCCGAGAGGATGGACTGGGAGTTGTACCTTAGGCATAATAAGACTATCTTTTTTCCTCCTCCCCAGGATAGAACGGTACCATTTGGGAGTGCCGCTTTATAATGAGTTGGTTCGGAGAAAGACAGACATATCTATAGGGGGCACTCAACAATGGGGAGAGGAGGAGTGGCCACCACAATGTATTATTGCCACTTATGGTCCAGCCACTTGGGCCCAAGGTGGGTCATGGGGATATAGGACACCAATTTATATGCTAAATATAATCATCAGATTACAAGCTCTATTAGAGATTATTTCTAACCAATCTACATTAACAATAGATCTCCTTAATGCACAATCAAGAGATTGTGCAAATGAGAACAATGATTTACCGGCTAGCCTTAGACTATCTCTTAGCTGAAGAAGGAGGAGTATGTGGAAAATTTAACTCATCAGAATGCTGCACAGAAATAGATGACCATAGCAAAGTGATCACGAATATAACAACCAACATCAGAAAATTAACCCATGTCCCTGTTCAAAGATGGACCTCAGTATTACAAACTGATTGGGGAAATTGTTGGAATAATCTCCTGAAGGGTGATTGGTGGAAGAAAGAATTAATTATCTTAGGTGGTACTCTAATAAGTATTGTTTTTCTTCCCTGTATGATCCCATGCCTCATCAGGGTCGTCACGAGAACTGTAATCAACTCCCTCAAGCTCAGTCTTAAAACTGGAGGAAAGGATAGAAACGCTAAGGGCATTTTATTACTACAAGAGCAAGAAGTTGAAGCAAACCAAGAGATACAGACTGCTGAATCAGCTATAGAAACGTACAAGAGATACCAAAAATTAAGACAATTATATACGGTTGAAGAAGAAACTGTTTAAAGATGGTTTAAAGGACTGAAGAAGAAAACTGTTAAAAGACTGTTTGAAAACTAAAGACTGAATGTGTTGATGTGGGCTAAAGCCCAATCAAAGTTTTAGAGGGGGGAGTTGTCATGAGTTTGGTCCTATTAGTTCTGGGGAGAATGGGGAGTTACTTGTTGTAAAGGGAAAGGGCGTCCAGGACTTGGTGAAGACACGAGATAAAAGAGGTGAGGAGTGATTGGGCTAGGGCACCAACCAATCATTCGACGCCCTGAAGGAATGACTGGCCCAGAATGAACCTCGCTAAAGACCAATCAGAGCACCTAGATTCCACCAGTCAGTGCGTGGATCCAAACCCCACCAATCCTGGACCAAAGGGAGTTATAAAAAGGGGGCTTTTCAGTCAGGCGGGCTTCTTCTTTCTGTTTCGTGAATGGTGGGATCGGTTCACAAGGAAGAGAACCCAATGTGTTCGTAGCACGTTGCTATTTTTGAGCTGTCGTGAGGAGGTTTAAGCTTATCTTGGATCCTCCATTCCTTTCATCTTGTTTTTAAATAAACGAGAGCCTTTTTCAATTTTTCTTGAAATCTGGCCTCATTCATTCATCACACAGGTCAAGTTGACAGCAACTGAAAGAGGGTGTCACTTCACGCTTCCTGCCCTTTCTTCCCTGGTTTCCAGCACTTCTCCCTTAATCATATTCAGACAAACAGCCTGGTACCATCTGTACCAGGAAGAGACAGCCCATCTGTCAGCAATACAGTCAGCAGCACTCCTGCACAAACAAGGGTCCAATGTACCTGCAAGCTGCCTCCTCTGACAGCAGCAGCCAGAAGCTGACAGCTTCTGCAACAGACAGCAACAGCCACCTACTGCTTGTTCAAACTGCTCAGGGCATCCACATTGAGCAGGGTACAGCTACAGATGTTCAGAGCTGCAGGAGTGCACCACACCACCATGAAGCCTGTGTTGCAGGTGTGAAGGACAAGAACGAGATCCCTATGCATGACATCCCTCACAAGAACTACATATGGAACCAGAGAACTGGCCGGAATCCAGCAGAACAGTGCAACTGGGCAGACAGCATGGCTTCATCAGCTTCCCTGGGCAGAGATGCAGGGACATGGCACTGGACAGAGCAATATTGTTAAATGCAACCTCAATAGCAGGTCTCTGCTGGCGCACCACAAGACTGCAAAGGATCTGAGCGTTGTGTCCAAGAGAGAGCCTTCACAGGACATTTTTCACACTTTCCCCTTCATAATTCTTGCACTTCACTCCTTTTTCTCACACCTTTGCCTTAGTGTTTCTCATGCTTTCCCCCTACTTTTTTCACACCTTCCCTCTCACATTTCTTACACTTCCCCCATCACATTTCATTGCCCTTTTCTGTCCTCAGTTTCCCATTCTTTCCTCTCTCACATTTCCAACACTTTCCTCTCACGTTGTCTCACTTTGCCCTTCACACTGGCAGCCCTTTTTCTGCCTTCACCACCCTTTCTCCTTGTATTTCTCACACACTTCCGCTCATCTTTCTTTCCTGTGACTTTCCGTGTCACATTTCTTGCCATTTCCTCTCCTAAGGCTTCCCATCCTTTCCCACTTTACATTGTCCAGCCTTTCCCTTCACCCTTCTCCCACTCTGCCCGTCACATTTCCTACCCTCTTTTTCCCTCATGTTTCCCACATTTGTCCCCTCACACTTCTCAAAATTTCCCCAAGTTTCTCATACTTTTTTCATCGTGTTTCATGCTCTTTTCCTCTCCCATTTCCTGACCTTCTTGTCCTCCCATGTTTCTTACTCTTTCCTCATGTTTCCTGCCCTTTTCTCCCCTCATGCTTTCCTCCCTTTTTTCACTCCTGTGTCCTGCCTTGTCCTGTCCCCCTCACACTTCCTCCTTTTTAAATAAGTGCCAGATGACGTTACAAATTGCCTTGTGTTTCTCTGTGTATACAGAACAAAGCTGCAACACTGCATTAATGAACCTATTATCTATTAATCATTTAAACATACAACAACACTGCTCCAGGGCAGAAAGACACAGGGTCTTGGGCAGGATGGCCCCAGGGTGGTTCTGGGGACAGCAACCCCAGGAGGCTGAGGCCAGGACAGCAGCAGCTGCAAGGAGCACTGGGAGGCACCGCCTCTCTGGGACAGCATCCAGGCTGGCATAGCATCAGCCCCTGTATGGCAGGTCTCACACTGGTCCTGGTGGCTGTAAGTGGGGACATCTTGCCCAGGTGGGGCTGACACAAATACTCCAAAGTCATATTGCTTACAGTACCTCAGCTGGATCAAGAAAAACTGAGTTGCATTGTTTAAACTTTTAAAAACCGTAAACAAGTTGCCTAACCAAGGCAAGAGGCAGGGCAAGCCAGTAGGGCAGGAGACAATGCTTGAGTCCTGTTCTCAGGTAATGTGATGGTGAATGGAAAAAGTAAGGTCGGGGAAATTCCCCAAACCAGACCATTTCCCAAACTGCATGTGCATGCTCCACTTTAAGGTGTACAGCTCTGCATATGTAAATGGCTTCTGAGAAGCAGAGAATTCTGGGAATTTAAATATCATGTATGCTTTGTAACCAATAATTTTGGAACTTCGCATGTGTTGTAAGCTCAGGAGCAGTGTCCACCACAACTGACACCTGCTTCCTAATACTCAAATTACAGTGTTAGAGAGTTTTATTCTTCCTGGCATTTTAGTGACATGACAGGTCGTTTCTCACGTTTTGGTTTCCCAGACTGGGATTTGGAAATGTTTCTTTGCTGTATTACACTGCTTCTTCCTTGTACATAACATGAGTTGCCATCTTATTCATTTTATTCTAAGAAATGGGAATAAGAGTGTTCAGATGAGCATTCAGATGTTCTGTTGGTATCATCCTACAGAGATGCCAAGCCTCAGGCAGCAGACACAGTGAAGTGGGGAAGGGCCTGTTTGTTGGGGGACTCCAAGGTGACAAGCTGACACTATGGCAGGAACTGGTTCCTGAATGGGTCATGACCTTTGCAGCCTCTCCATCTGACCCAGCCTGGGGTTGCCTGAGGAAAACTGGCCAGTCACGGCTGCTACTGCACATGGCACTGGCTGGGCATTTCCTGGACAAGATCACAAGGGTTGTGGAGCCATGGGACCACTATCCCCTCAGGAGCTTCCCAGCCAGAGCCTGTACTGTGGTAAAGTAAGATAGAAAACATCTCATGGGTCAGGATGGTGGCAGTTTTTTAAAAGAAATGCAAAGGTCACGTGTGCAAAGAAGAAAACCACTGCCAAAAGGGCTGATGTCCCTGTGAGTCCCAATACTCCCTCCAACCCCACTGGGACACTGGGAACATGGGAGACAAGGGCAGTGTTTGGAACATGGGGATCAGGAGTCCTGGTGGGTCCCTATGAGGACACAGGGACAAGGGAGCTGGTGGATCCCCATGGAGACAAAGAACTAGGGGGGTTGGTTGGTCCTTCATGAGGATGTAGGGACAAGGATGGCTGGTGGATCCCCGTGGGGACATGGAACTGGGGGCAGAAGGGCAGGATGCCTGTGTGAGGAATGGTGCCCCTAGCCATTGGGAGGCTTCACCCCAGAGATTTTTCTGTAATGTCACAATCACGGCTATAAGCCCTGTTTTGAGGCATGAAAAAACAGAAGAGCAGCATGCCTAGGTGTTGGGCACATGTATCTTGGTCTTTGAGCTGAATAGAGTTGTTTCTGAGCTCAGGAGCACCTGAGCATCAGCTCCAAGCCTCACCAGGACTTGGCAGTCTTCAGCAGGCACCAGATGAGGAGGGGCCAGTGCAAGGAGCATCTGAGGGAAATTTAAACAGCTCCAGGAAGTCCGAGTGACCTGAAGTGAGGTGAACAGGAGTGCATAACCCAGAGCATGGCATGGAATGGCAGTGAGGGCCTGGCATGGCAGCTTGCACAGCAGTTCACCTAGGCAGGGCAGGCAGTGCGGCAAGCAGGAAGGATTCCTCTGTGATCATCTGAGAGCAGCCAATAGAGTCAGCAACAGACTCAGTGGGTGGTAAGGAAGAGCACGAAGATATCCTTTCATCCCCAATCTTACTAGCATACCAGTTATGGTACTGACATACCAATCCTCTGTGGATTCCTTCCAACTCAGAATATTTTGTGATTCTGCATGTCACCACATGCGGATGGATGGCATCAGGGACTGCAATGGGCTGCGGGGAGATCTGATAGCATACAAGGGGGACCCTATGGGACTGACAGTGGCTGTGAAGCTTGGAAGTCTGTATGTGGCTCAAATATGGGGTGCCAGCTGAGTTTGGGGAGACACAGGGGACCAGGGGAGCCATATAAGAGCAAGGGGACATATGCCGGGGCTAGCAATGACCTTTGGGTTCAGTGTATCCCCTCGAGTCACCACATCCTCCACACCTCCGATGCCATCAAAGCCATTTCCTTGTTTAACTTAATTTTCAGGAGTGTGACTCCATATTGATCCATCATCAACTGATGGGAGCTCAGCCACAAGGCCAGGTGTGGGGTATCCCACCAGCAGCTGTCACCCCAATTCTGTTTAAGCGCTATGGGCAAGGATTAAAGTTCAGGAGCAGACAGGGAAGAGCATGGGGGGTGTCCCAAAATAGGAATTGTGGAGCTTCCAGGGTGAGTAGGAGACTCAGTGGGTGGCAGGAGTGTTGGACTGGCGGTGTGCCCAGGTTGAGTAGTAGGTGTGTCTGAGGTTTCTGCAGTGGTAGAGGCATTTTCTAATGCATCTCTGCACTGCAATGCATGCAGTGTGGGGTGCATTAGATGGCACTCCATGGACTGTGGAGTAGGGCATCATTCCGCTCATGAAGACTGAGGCACGATTCAGAACACTGCATGTGTGAGGTTTCTGGTGCTGAGGATGCTGGGACATTTGGAGTGCCTGGGAGCTAAGGGCTGGGGCCTAGGCGCCTGCTGGGTCCAGAGATGGGTGATGGGAGCTGACTGGGTCCTGATGGGAGCTAAAGGGAGCTGAAAGAAGCACCAGGGTCCAGGGTTGCATGACAGAAGCCGGGCAGGTCCAGGACTGTTGGTGGATGCTGGCAATATCCTAGGCTGAGTGATAGCTGGAGGGTCTGGGGCTGCAGTGAAGTCCAGAGTTGGTGATGGGACCTGAAGTGGGAAGTTCACATTTTATGACCCTTCTTCAGTCATATTTTCACTTTTCTCTTCATATTCTCCACAATTTTCCCCTATGTTTCTCACAATTTTCTTCTCACATATCCCAACCTTTTCCCCCTACATTTTCTAGGCCTTTTTCTTTCCTCATGTTTCTCACAATTTGCTCCTCCTGTTTCCTGCCCTCTTCTTCCTTCACATTTCCCTCCCTTTTTTACCTCATGTTTCCTGTCCTTTTCCTCACACATTCCCCACTTTTTAAATAACCTGACAGATTGCAGAAGCAGCAGCCTGCTTGGGCCATCCTGACCTTGATTAACAGCTCTTCTTCCATGGGACAGTACATACCAAAGGATCAAATACAGCCATAAATACCTGCACTTTGACATACAGCTCTGAAAACTGGGCTGTGAATGTCTGTGGGATGAATTTTAAGAGCTAGAAACATCAGCTCTACTCTTCTTTATCTTGTGTGGTTCCTTTCTCTCTCCTACCAGCTTACTGTGTAATTGATCCTAAAACTAGTACACAAAAGAAACATATAAATACTCAAGTGTGTTTAATAAAGACAATTCTGCTTGATGACAAAGTGGTGGTCTGTTATTCTCAATTGCTACACAAACAAAGTTAAAAACTGGCTTTGGTATCTTTGTACATACTGGGCATCATGAAGCCATCTCAGGGCTCTGCCTCTGGCCAAGGCAGCCACTTCCATCCCATGCTTCCACCTTCCTACAGGTGGACCTGAGGCAGATGCAGTTGAACCACAGGCAGAAGCAAGCAACACTGCAAGGCACCAATAGCCAGGTTTTATCTCTCTGTGGGGGCAGGGTGCCAGGGAGCATCACATCGATGTATGGATACCGAGGGAAATAGGACTGAACATCTTCCCACCCCAAGGAACTGCTGACAGGCAGGCAGGAGGAGCAAGCAGGAGCAAGGGCCACAGTCCGGCAGCCTCTCTCCTCAGATTCTCTTGCAAATGAACAGCCTAGTGCAGTGTGTCACTGCCTTGTCCTGGAGTGACACTGGAAGAGACAGCCCATCTGCCAGCAATACAGGTGGCAGCACTTCTGTACACACAAGCTGCCTCCTCTGACAGCAGAATCCAGTAGCTGACTGCTTCTGCCAGGGGCAGGAGAACAGCCATCACCATGACCAGCAACAGCCATCTATTTGTCTCCATTGCCCAGGGCATCCACACTGAGCAGAGCACAACCACAGATAATTCAGAGATTGAGGGCTGCACCATACCATTACTGCAACAGCCTATGCCGCAGGTGCGAACGACAAGAACCGGATCCCTATGCATGACATCCCTCACAAGAAATGCATGTGGAGCCAGAGACAGAGAGACAAAGCAGAATGGTGAAACTGGGCACACAGCATGGCTTCATCAGCTTCCCTGGGCAGAGATGCACTGCACAGAGCAGCATCTGTCTCTGCTGGTATACCACAAGACTGCAAAGGATCTGAGCATTGTGTTCAAGACAGAGCCTTCACAGGAAGTGAAGATGAGAAGCCCAGTCTGTGCAGGGCACAGACTGCCTCTGCTCAGGAAAGCCAGACAAATTTTCCAAGATTTTGAAAAAATCATGTCATAAGAGGGTGCTAGAGCTTCTGGAACCAAATTTTCCAATCATGCCACCTTATCTGAGGAAGAGAAATAGTGGGAAAATTATGGATAGAAAAAGCTGTGCCAAGTGAAGACATCAAGGACAAAGAACTGTCTCAAAATGAAGGCAAAAGACCAAGAACTGGCTGAAAGGCAAGAAAACAATGAGAAAGATCTGTCTCAAGGTGAATACAGGAGATGATGAGTTGGCAACGTGAGAAAACTACAGTGATAAAGAACTGTCATAATGGGAACACAACAATGACAAAAACATGTCCCAAGAGAAAGATGGGAATGACAGATATCCCAAGGCAAACACAGGAGAGACAAAGACCTGTCCAAAAGGGAAGAGGACAATGACAAAAAAATTTACCGAGCAGGAAGATAACAAAGACATGTCCCAAGATGAAGGTCATTTTGACAAAGGCATGCCCTAGTAGGAAAATGAGAATGACAAAGAGGTCTCCCATGGGAAAGACGATGTCCTAACAGGAACAGGAGAAAGACCAAGACCTGTCTCAATAGGAAGGCAGCAATGACAAAGAGCTCTCCCAAAGGGAAGATGACAATGAAAAAAAAACTGTCTCATTGACAAAACAAGAAAGACCAAGATCTTTCCAAATCAAAAGATGATGTCAGCTACAGCACCTGGGACAACTCCTTGGGCCCAGTGAACAATAAGGACCCTCACACTGCTACCCAGAGGTCTCGCTGTCTCAGCAGCATGGTCACAGAGGTAGCAGGAGGCAGCTAGTGACCTGAGCACCTCTTTCCCCAGTGGGTGCCACAGCTGCTGAGCCAGTTCTGGTGAGAGCTCCTGAGGAAGGGGAGCACCATGCACCTCTTGCTGCTGAGGCAGAAGAGGCAGCAATAACAGCTTCTCTGGCCTTCAGTGTGCAGGTGACAGGTGCAGAGCCAGGCAGCTGCACTGCACAGCCCCTACTGCTCACCCAGTCTTTCACCTCACTTGTTGGAAGCCCATGCTCCCAGCAGGCAGTGGGCAGGGACAGTTGGAGAAATCAGTCCTGTTAGTGCCAAAGACCAAGGATGGAGCCTTTGCTAAGGAGGAGGAAGAGTGGAAAGACTGCATCAACTGAGATCTGTCCCTACAGGAAATCTACAGTGTCTAGGGTCTGTCCCAAGTGATAAAAGGTATCCCAAGAGAACAAGACCATGTACTTCTACAGAAAAGGGACTCTCTAATCCTGTCCCCTAGAGGCACAGGCATTTTGCTTGCATAGCCACATACCATTCCAAGCTTTGCCTTGCCAGATGGAAGCCTATGCCCTCAGCAAGCAGTGTGCTCTTTGCTGGCAACAGTCATCCCACTTCAGAAGGGCATTCCAGGCTCTGCACAGACTGTTCAATGGCTCTGTATGGTAGCACAAGGAGAGGACAGAGGATTAGCACCCTACTGCCAGGGCCAGGCTAGTCTCCAGAGATATAGGTGGCCCAGGACCTGTGCAGCATCCTGAGGGAGCCACACAGGCTAATTTTGCTGTGGGTATTTTGATAAAAGTTGATGACTTTGCAACCCAATTTCCTCCCATGTTTCCTGCCCACTCCCCCTCATATTTGCCATACTTCCCCCACACATACTTCTTGCATTTTGCCCATACTGTTTCCTTGCCCTTTCTTCTCCTCAGATATCCTGACATTTTTCCCCTCATGCTTCTCAATTTTCCCCTCACGATTTCTGTCCTAATTCCAGTCATGTTTCCCACTCTGCCTGTCACGTTTCCTGCCCTTTCTCCTCTCATGCTTTGCTCCAACCACATCACCCTCACATTTCCTGCTTCTTTAAATAGCTGGTAAACGGGGGTACAAACTGTCTTGTTTCTTCCCGTGCACAGAGCAAAGCTGCAATACTGCATTAATGGACTAATCTTCTATTAACAGTCATCTAAACATATACCTCACAGTGGAGACCCCCGCCTGCCCCGCGCTGCTCCGGCCCAGAGAGACACCGTGCCTCGGATAGGCCAGCCCCAGGACGCCCAGGAGAGGTGTCGGGAACAGCAGGCACGGCCGGCCAGGGCTTTGGCCGGAAAGTCCGCGGGGAGCGGCGGGAGGCACCACCTCCTCGGAGCAACGGCCTCGGCCGCCATCTTCTGCCTGGCGCCAGCCGTTGCGGCGCGGACCCGCTCAGTCCCGACCGCTGCTCCTGGGTGCGCGCTTTCTGGGAGAAGCAGACGCTCTTTTCTGTCTCCGTAGGGATCTGGCTGCTAGCGGGGACCACCCCCGCTAGCAGCCAGCCGGCAGCAGAGACGTCCCCACTCTTGCAGCCCCCACTCCTTGTCTCCCTCCCTCACGGGATAGCCGTGCCTTCCACGCCCGTTCCGGTTTGGCGGCGCACGGGGATTGGCTTTGCAATCCCGGCGACCGGAAGCGGGACATTTGAACGGTAACGGACTCTCTCGGCTGCTCCGCTGTGGCGTCTCTGCCTCGGGAAGGAGAAACACTCGGGACGGCTCCTGCCGGCAGCGCCCCAAGAAACGGGGTGGGATTCGAGGGTCTTCTGGCCGCTGCGATTCGGGATCGCGGCGCTCCCGCGCCTTTCGCCGGGGAGCCGTGACAGGTCTGTAGGAACAGCAGCCGCTCCGCCTTCCCCGGGGGCTGCTGCTGAGTCGGTTCTTGTGCCCGAAAGCATGCATGAGCGCAATCTGCGGTCTCCCCTTGCAGGTGCTGAGAAGAGCTGCCGGCGTCCTACGAGTTGCAGAATGGCCGGAGATGACTATGAGGAAATTCTCAAGTACTATGAATTACACGGAACAGTCGGCACAGGTGGGCTCAGTCTGTGAATGTAAACAAGTGTATGTGATGTGTCCACTCACCTCTATGTTTATCTGAGAGATTAACTGTTATTTCAGAGGCCGTGGCTCATGTTTTCTCGGTGTATTTTGCGGGCCACAACTGTGGAAATGTAACTGGAAGGCAGCAATTGGTTCTTCCTCTAGCAATGATGCAACATGCTGTGCATATGGTATTTGCTTCAGGGCGACTGAGATCACGGTGAGAAAGCTTGTCACCATGCAAAGATTTATACATTTCTGTTTCAAATTCTAGGTGGGTTTGCAAAGGTAAAACTTGCACGACATCGTCTCACTGGTGAAAAAGTTGCAATAAAAATCATGGACAAGCTTGCTTTACAGGTAATCAAAAGATACTTCAGAGGTGGTAATGTGCTGCTCTTATGGAGCTCTCAGGAGCACGGGTGCAACCTCTCAATGTCGGGTGGTGGTAGATGCTGTAAACTTGAAAGAATTTTAATGGCACCACAAATCCTGTGCCCTCGTGTGGAGAAGGCAATATTCTCTGCCTGTAAAACTGAGGCATATATTAAGTAACTAAATAAACTGCTGTGAGTCAAACAGAGTACTGATGAGAACAGTAGCAATGTATATCTGCCTCTTTGGGTTTTACTGACCAGTGTGTGAGGAGAGCAGGTGAGCTGTGACAGAGCTGGTGCTGGTTTGAGTTTGGGCAGTTCTGATGTGTGGGCTTACTTTGAGGTACAAGCTGTCAAACTACTTGGCACTTTCATACCTTGCTGTTTTGATCTTTTAGGATGACTTGCCTCGTGTTAAATTAGAAATCGATGCCATGAAGGACTTGAGTCACCAGCACATTTGCCGGTTGTATCATGTGATTGAGACACCCAAGAAAATATTCATGGTTTTAGAGGTAAGGAATGGTGTTTCTGCTAAGGCAGAAATCTCTGGGTTTAGCCATAGCAGTAGATGGCAGAGTCCAAATGAAACAATTCTTAGAAAATCATCTGAATGATAAGTGTGTCCGAGGTGCTGTAGCTTTAAAATTAAGCTGATCATGTGTTCTGTCTCTTTGTATGAGCCAATTTCACTATTTGCATTAAACAAACTGACTAAGTCCCACCTCACACTCCAAAAAACAGCACCAGCAGGATATGTGGGACCTGAGAAGTGCCACCGAGTTGTCACGTCTTGGGCAGCTTCTGTCACCTGTGCTGGTAGTGTGATACGGCTGTGGCAAGCATCAGGCAAGAGTTGGGCTCTTGGTCTTGTTGGATCTGTTGCACTGGCCTGGGGCATGCCTGGGTACTGCTGGGATTAAGCAGAGGGAAGGAAAGAAAACAGTGCCTTCCTGCTGTCCAGTGCCTTTGTTCATGTTTACATTTCATGACTGTATCCCAAATGTACTCTTTTTTTTCCTGCTTTCATGCAGTACTGTCCTGGAGGAGAGCTGTTTGATTACATAATTTCTAAGGACCACCTTTCCGAGGAGGAAGCTCGTGTATTTTTTCGGCAGATCGTTTCAGCAATTGCATATGTGCACAGTCAGGGATATGCCCACAGAGATCTCAAACCAGTAAGTCTGAACAGTAGTTGAATTTGCAAAAATAATAATGAACACCCACTTTTATTTCTCTGAATGGAGCTGGTGTGAGTTGTCTTCTCTGTTCTCCTGTGCTTAGAGCTCTTTAGTTAACATTTGCTGAAAGAGCATTATTTCTACTTATTGCTTTGTTCCTCAACTGAGCTTGATGTAGCTGTATCTGGGGAAGGAGCTTTCTCTGGAAGAGAAGCAGAATAGTGCACTCTAGTTGAGAGTGCAGCAGAGACAGATTTGATTTTGACTGCTGGTTAGGCATTTTCGCTATCCCTTTTATTCCAGCCCATACCCAGGGAGAGTTATGGTTTGTGTCTATTGTGCAAACTGTTCTGTTCTGACATTCAAAGGAAAATGTTACTCCCCCAGTGTAAACAAGTAAGGATGGAGGAGGGATGTGCCACAAAACTGATCCTGTGGCTTTGCTATCACCACAAGAATTAAGCATGGGCTTAGGGAATGGAAGCCTTGAGACTATGTCTCCTAGAAGGGGTTAGAAGTTTGCATGTTCAGAGACACTGATAACTGAGAAAAACAAATTCTTTGGGTGCAACTCTTTTACTACACAGCTCATTAAATCCTTGTCTCCAAAGAGCTTCTCTCCAAGCAAAGCCTTCTGTGTCCCTCTTGGTAAGATTAGAATTGTAGCTGGAGACATGATGGATTCATAGGATTGTGAGATAACTTGGTTAGGAATTGACTTCTAGTGGCTTCTGCTTTTATCTCCTGTTTAAAACAGTGTCAGACCAAACTTCTTCATCCAGGCACATCTTGGACCTTTCCCTAGGATGAGGCACCGTAATCTTACTGGGAAACGTCTTAGGCTCTTCACTTACTTTTTTATGAGAGGCATTTTCTTAGTACCAGTCTGAATGTCTCCTGAAGCTTGTTGACTGTCATCCCACCTTGTGCTTCTCTGGAGGGGCTGGTGCTGTCTCTATGCCCCCTTTGTAGGAACGAAAAGGCTGCCGTGAGGTCTCCACTGAAGCTTTGTCACCTACAGGCTGAAAAACTATCTCTCTCTCAGCGTCCTCATGGAAAAAGTGCTCCAGCACCTTGGACAAGCTGGTTTCCATCCACAGACTTTACCTCAGTTTGCTGTCTTTCCTGTGCTAGAGGGTGGGCAGAAACTGAATATGCTGTTCTCAGTGTGATGAACAGAGGGCAAGTGGCTTCCCCCACTTTGCCAGCTCTGCTTCTTTTCACACCATCTGGGATATCTGGCTGCATTTTCTGACAGGGCAGGCTGCTGCCTCACAGTTTTTGCTTTCTGTGTAGCAGTCCCCTAGGCCTCTCTGAGCAGGTAGGAGCTTGTATTCCCTATCTGGGATATAGGATATATTCATTAGTAACAGACCAAAATCTCCAGAGGAGAGCTTCAAGTAAATTATGGCTGGTAATGGCAAGAAGAAATAGGGTGAAAGAAAGTGTGGTTTCTTGGATACCTGGCATTATGTAAGAATTCATTACCACTTTCTCTTTTACTAGGAAAATTTGCTGATTGACGAGGAACATAACCTGAAGCTGATAGACTTTGGACTTTGCGCAAAACCAAAGGTAAGGGTGTCAGTTGCTATCACAGCAGAGCTTAATCAGCTACAATGCATACATAAAAGTTGGAGGCGTGACTTCAGGGTGCAGTGCAGAGCCTTGCCCTGAATTCGAACTGTTGGTATAGTTGTCCCGCTGCTAATTGCTTAGTAGAGCCACGCCAGTGTGAGAGTTTTTTTGTGCAGAATATCAGTTTTCCTCCTCTTGCACTTCAACTTTCATCCCAATATAAGGAACAGATTGCCTTGTGTGTAGAGCATCTACTCCCACAAAGGCTTGCACTGTAAAGCTTATGTAGGTGTCCATTTGCCCCTGATAATTTTCAATGGCACTTGTCATTTTCATACAATTTGTTCATGTGTGGAGATTGTGGATCAAATCAGATAGGTTCCCCTTACTCTTACAAAGCCTGTGGATCCACATGATGGTACTAAGTTAACAAGTTTAAAGTTCATTTCTGTGTTGCTGCTCTGTTTGTCATCTTCGCATATGAGATGGGTGCTGGGAAAAAGGAACTTCATGGAAAGAAGATCTTACTGATCCAAAGTCTGCAGATTGCTTTAGCAATCAAGTTAAAGCACCTTGCAGGAAATTGGGAGTATTAGACCACCATCTTGGTGGTACAATGTGTTCTCACTCTGATCTGCTTAAAGCAAAGCCCAGGCTAAGGAATAACATATTTTTAATATGGAAGCATTTTAGTGGTTCTTCATGAAGTTATTGCCTTAAATATTGATATAAATATCCAACCAGTCTCATGCCCAGTAGCTCTTGGATTACTGATTCCCAAGTTCCATCTATTTTTTTTCTGCTCACAAAGGGAAATATTCCTATCACAGGAGAAGCTGCAGAAAAGGCTGCTGGGAGAACATGTGAAGGAGCAGCTTGGAGTCTTGAACATTTATGGGAGTCTCCTGGTTTTGGACAGTTTTTGCCTGGTGAAGCTATATATTATACCAAAGCAAAATGTTAGGTATATAGACGGCATTGGAAAATGAAGCCTCTGAGGCCTCTAATATGTTGTTGCTAGAAGACACCATTTGTGCTACAGCCAATGCTTCTTTGTCATCAGTTTTGTCTTATTCTAGGGTGGCCTTGATTACCATCTGAACACCTGCTGTGGAAGCCTAGCTTATGCAGCACCAGAGCTGATCCAGGGCAAAGCATACATTGGCTCAGAGGTAAGTGATACAATTGTGGGTTAGGGTATTTTTTTTCCGTGCACACCATGTATTTAAAGCTGGTGGGATTCTGATATACTCCCTTGGTGTCTTTCTTCTCTGTCATGTTGCCTCAGTGGCAGTCAAAAGCTGTGTGACTGAGAGCAGTCACAGCCTGGAATAGTTCCTGACCACAGATTCTGCACCTGGCTTCTTCATCTCTGATTTATCCTTCACTGTCCTCGGGTGTTGCTCTACAAAAAGTAACTGCCTTCCACCACATTATTCCAAGCAGCAAATTGTTATGTTAATTTTCCAAGTCTTGTGGCAAATTTCGATGCAATCTTAGTTTCTTGTGTACTTTGCCTTTGAAGTCTTCTATGAAAACTTTTTACTGTGCTCTTTTTACTGTGCAGTGTAGTAAAATTAAAGAGAACAAAAACTGTAGCATTTATTCATCTTTGATTCCATGTCCAGAACATTGGGATCTGCTACATGCTTTGTCAATCCATTAAAAATGCTGCAATTTCAATCTCCTCAAACTTCCTAACTGTCTGTGCTGTTGGATGGAGTCAGTCTTTTTTCCCTTTACCTCCTTTGCACCACTGTCCCTGACCTCTAAGTCTTGCTTTCTTTTAGTTTTTCACAAAGTCAGTGCTTCTCAGACCTCCTTTATCTTTATGACTGAATTGGGAGTTGCAGTATGAGGCACATAGACCTTGTCATGTCTATACAGAAAATAAATGGTGGAGCTTTAAATCTGAGTGTTACTGTACTGACTGCTGTCATAATCATGAACACTTTTGAGTACAAAATCCCTTCAGATGAATTTGATTTCCTTTTTGTCAGTGAATCCCTTGAAGGTTGAAGGTAATGCAGCAATGTGGTGACCTAAGGAAAAGGGTAATGGTTTTACTAGTGCTCTAGTTTCAATGAATTGAAAATTGTGTGCTTTCACTTGGACTGTAAGAGTTCTGTCCAGGGTTAAGGAACATGCTTTCCACAAGTTTCATGTGAGCTTTGCCAAAAGAAGTCAATATGCTCAGTCTCTAAGCCATTTTAAACAGATGAGGTTTGTGAACTCTCACTTTTATGTTTTAGGCAGATATTTGGAGTATGGGAGTACTGCTGTATGCTCTGCTGTGTGGCTTTCTCCCCTTTGATGATGATAATGTCATGGCTGTCTACAGGAAGATCATGGTGGGTATTGATGATACTAGAATACATGAAGAACAGGAATCACAAAGCATTATGGGAAACTTTTACTTTCTGATTTGAGCAAAAAAGGCTTATCTGCTGAATTTTGTTATGCTTTGCTTCTCTTTTGATCAGCATTTTAAGGATTGGTTTCTGTTTTCCCTCAGCCTGTGCAGTACTCTAGCTTGGTCCTATGATACAGTAGAAAAGTGAGTTTCAGGAAAAGCATTTTCTTGCTAGTGGGCTGGACTTTTGTATCGGAGTGTTCATCTGTCTTCTCCCTAAAAATTACTAAAAATACTCTTCTTGAATGTTGGCCACTCTCATGTCTAAGAAAAGCAGGATTCTGCATCTGCTATTGTACTTTCGTTTTCCAAAAGGAGTTGAATAAATATTAAACAGTATAATTAAGTTATTGATTATTTCCCTGTAAACTCCTCTTGATGTGGCTAAACAGCTGTTGTTCCTCATCACACATGCACCTCTGCCAGTCACTTCTGAGCTGCCATAAAAATCTGTGTTGATGAAGCTTGGTCTGAGTAGGATGATGAACAGCGGTGCAGAGTAATGGCTTTGTATTCCTCTACCTCATTCTCCTCTCACCAAAAGTTCTATATGTCTTTAAAAAGACATCAAAAAAACCCTTGAGAGTATTCAAGGACCACTTTGGCAGAGAGCAACTGACACTGGTTTGCACAGGAAATGTTTTCAAAGTGCATAACAGTCTGATCTCTATGAAGCACCTGATTATTTCAACAGAGTGTATTTTAATCTGAAATTGGAGTACACTTGAATACCTTGAGAGAAGAAAGTACTTTGACTAGGAAGCTTAGTTTGAGTTATTGAAAAGAACTTTAAAAAATAAAGAAAAAGGAAAAAACAAGCCAAGACTACCTAATCCAAAGAGATTGTGTAAAGGTGCTAATGTTCAGCTGAGATGCCAGTAAAATTACACGACTTCCCAACTCATATAGTTGTAGAATATCTTGATTTGGAAGACAGCAACTCCCTGTTCTTTGCGGGACTACCTAAACTAAACCATGTGATTAGGAGATCAGGAGTCTTGTCCAAATAATGCTAGCAAGCACTTAGTTTCTCAGTGAAGTTCCTATGAAGTGTAAACAACATGGTTGTTGAGCTGCTTTTCCCTCTCTATTTGTGGTGTGAACTGTGTTGTCTACCCAGGTCAGAGCACATTGAGAACATGTCTACTTGTAAGCATGCTGTCATAGGATGACGAAACCCTTTTTGATGCTCATTACACCAAGATGCAGAACCTGGTAAATGATACAGCTGCTTAAGGCACCCACTGAGCTGAGAACTCAGATGTGAAATGGAGATCTTAATTAAGAGTATCAAAAATTATTCTGTGTAGTTACCATTATCCAGCCTGGACAGGAACTATGAACTGAGTTGTTTTGAGCAGCTCAGTGTCTGCCACTGGAATGTGTTGAAGTGAGCTGAAACTACAAATGAAGTTTTAAAGCTTAGTCTGGGAGCAGTCAAAAACTAGTCATGTCGCAGGTGTTAAGATGCATACTTGCTATTTCCACTCTGAATTTGTTTTAATTTTATGTGGTTGTAAATTGAAAATTATTTCAAATGAGGACAACCAATATTATGGAATTAGTTTCACACATTTTAAATCCTGAAATTTATTGTAATTTCATCTCAAACCTGTTGCTCCAAGTCAAATCTGCTGCTTGAATTTAATTAAAATCATATGCCTTACATGCAGTGTTAATTCCCTGGACTGTTCTCTTCATTTGTGAATCAGTGGCTTGACTTTTTGACTGAAAAATTAAGCTGTGGTATAACTACTGTAAAAAAAGAATTACTTCTGGTATGACCTTGTGTGCCTGGCAGATATCATAACCTATTTACCATTCAGTATTGCCCACAGTACGAGATGGGAATTGCTCTTTGTTATGTTCTGTGGCATTATACTAAAGCCAAAATGTAGATTACCTGTGTTACTTAGTTTCATAGTAAAGCTGTGTTGAAAAACAACCTATAGAACAATTCATTAATAACTTACTTGTAGTGTCTGTAAAGATGTAACTTAAAGTCTTTAATCTGTAATGTCAACGCAATACATACTGTACTTAGAAATGTGGCTGCATATAATACCAACTGATTTGTTATTAAGGCATTTGTCTGTAGAAAGAAAACTTCCATTACGAAATGATAGTTATGTTACTTGACAATGTACTGATTTTTATTTTTTTATTTTTGTACTGATTTTTATTTTTCTCTCAGTTTTCATTCAGAAATAAATGATTCTTAGTGGTGACTTTGGTTTGGTTTCTAGCTACTGTTAGACCTCACATCTGGGAGTTGTTTTGTTTTTCCAATATTCTTCTAAACAAAAATTAAAGAAAAACAACTGTAAATAATAACTTATTTTTTTTTGTATCTTGAAAAAAATCTCACTTGCTAGATCTGTAACCTTTCTCCTGTCTGCTATATGAGATTGAAAGTTTAGCATTAGATGTAACCTATTCAAAAAAGAATATCCTAATACTGAGGATAGTGTAATTTCACTGTCTGAAAAGTAGTGATTTTAGGGAATCTTCACATTGCGAAGTGCTAATATAATCCAGTATGTTTGTACTTCTAGAACTTCAGTACTAGGCTGATAGGATGAACCAAGGCAATGGAGAAAGGAGCAGGTTAGCTGCAAAAGTGGGTAGAAATGGGCACAAGCAGAGTGGACAAAAACTGCAGCTGGTGATTCAAACATGGCATTTTCCGTACTAATGCTGCTGGGTTCTAGTACTACCATGACATTTATGCAAGTAATTCTTTAAACTAAATTCACATCTTCCTGCTGTTCTTTTTTTACAAAGTACAGATATCACTATTGTCCAAATAATTTAGTAGCTCCTTTTGAGGCTCAGTTAGTTCTAAATCCTCTTCTTTTTTTGCAGAGAGGAAAATACAGTACTCCAAACTGGCTCTCTCCTAGCAGTACACTGCTCCTTGACCAAATGCTGCAGGTAAAGATTATTGTTTCTGTTCAATAAGTGCATAAAGTACTGTTTAGTTGGTTCAAAATATTACATCAATGAAATATTTTAAAAACATTATGTGTTTAAATAAGAAGTTAAATTCTTACAATTTTTTGAAGAAAATATTACCATTGCCTTCAGCAAAAAAATCTTTGGGACAAATGTTTGATTTCAAAAATAATTAACAAAGTTTACATGATTTAACAAAGTCTTCAAACAGCATGCATTTGGTTCTTCATCATGTGCTATAAAAGCAAGAGTTGTTTTGTAGCCCAAACATATGTTTGGGCTACACCTGAGGAATATAGCCAACGCTGCATATCCCCGAGATCTATTGTAGCTGTAGGTTCCATAACTGCTCTTCACAGCTAAGATCTTCCTTTTGTGAAGCTCTGAAAAAGTATTGGTCTCTGGTTTTGTCCCTAACCACCCTAACATTCTGTGTGGAAGATCGTTTCTTCTCTTTTTGTCCACAATTGAAATATCACTTTGATTTTTATGGCATACCAGGTCAACCCAAAGAAGCGGATTACAGTCCAACATCTATTAAGTCACCCTTGGCTCATGCAAGGCTTTTCTGATACTGTTCAGTGGCAAAGTAAATACCCAGTAAGTACTTTAGTCAGATAGATACTAAAGCATTTAATGTAATATTTGCTGGCTTACTAACATCCTCGTGCATGGTGCATGGTTTAAAATTGTTTGTTACAAGATGAACTTTGAGATGATTGTGGTTCTTTTCCGATTCTTTTAGCTGTCAAAATATTATTACTTCGTCTTGATTTGTCTTGAGAAAAAATTTCAAATGTGTTTTCCTTATATTCTGCAGCTGAATATGCAGAATAACTGAATTCTCATCAAAAAATGAAGTACCTCCACATATGAATGACCAACTCCTTCCCTAGGCTGATTCATCAGTACTTTCTTTAATGTGTAAAACACAAATATGTTGAAGGTCATGCTGGATGTGGTTATGGTTTATCTTGTATGTAGTCCTGAATGAAAATTGGAATTTTCCAAAATTCCAATGAAATTAAATGAAATTAAAAATTTTCCAATTTTTAATTGGAAAAGTAAAACTTCATTGAAAGAATATTCGTCCTGTCTCTCTGTCACTTGTTTTACTTATGTGAGAGATGAAGACAGTATGGAGAGGGAAAAAGCGAAAATAATCTGGCTGTCAGCAGAAGGTGCTGCGAAGTTCCTGCATGTTGACAGCCAATGTTTCCCATTGCCACCAGATGCCACTGTTACCCTAGATAAAGACAGTTTGACTGTGCTCACACCGTCAGTGCAACCTGGCTGTGGTAGAGATGGTCATAGCTTGTAGCTTTGGATAATTATAGGCAGATGAAAGCATACCTTCCATTCTAGTAAAAATCTTACTGGCTTTTGGGTGGCTTATTTGAATTTATAAACTATCACCTGTGAGGATTAAGGCTGTGATGTTGTTGAAGTTGTATGACTTTTTCAGTCTGTTTCCTACAATGTTTAGCTGTGATGCTAAACATTTGGAATACAAGGTGTAAAATCATCTATTGACTATTGACTCAGCCCACTGGGTTTCACAATAGTGTCACTGTCAGGTATGGATTATGGGGTAAATTGAAAACCTCACATTTCAATATCCATTGTTGTTGCAGCTGGGAGATCTTGATGAGGACTGTGTAACAGAGCTTTCTGTCTTTCATGAGCAGAGCAGGGAGACTATATTGCAATTAATAAAAGAGGTAAGAAGTTTATGTCAGTAATTTACAGTAATTAAGTGCAGTAATAGAGTAAATAAATGTACTCTGTTATCAGACCAATCCTTACATATTCCAAAGTATGACATTTTACATATATTTCAGATTTAAGGAGGCTCTGCAGAACTTTAGAATCTGGCTGTAGCTTGTAACTACAAGCTACTGGTTCAGAAGTTCAATTTTATTTGTTTCTTGTACTCCTTTAATTGTGATCTTCATATTTCCTAAATCTTACCACTAGGGTAAAATCCTTCTGAATCTCTGAAAGTCAGAAGAGACTTGTAGAAATTTATAGTTTAACAACAGATACCATTTGCTGGGTTAACTCTTTGCTTTGAAATTGTTCATTAAAAAGTAGGAAAAAAAATCAACAACATCCAGGCAGTCTACAAAATACAGGGGCTTTTTGAGTTGCTAGTCACTAGCTAGATTTTTAAAAATAGTGAGTATGTTTAGTCATTTTTGATCACAAATGACAAATGTTTAACTGAATACTTCTGGAAAAATTGTGCAAATGTTAGCAGTAACATTGCAGGCTGTTAAAAAGACTTAAAGCATAATGTAAACTCCAGCTTTTACCTGAATCTGAAAATTCTGTATTACAACTGAATTTTCTGCTTCTTTGTACTTCTTAGCAGTGACAATAGTTTTGGCTTTTTGAAAACACTTGGATTTTCCACATAACTGTAGCAGAAACAGACTTTTAAAATGTGTGTGATACTTATAACAGGCTTGTGGAGTTAATTCTCTTTGTTCCTTAGTTAGAGCAAATAATCAGAATAACCTGTTTAGAGAGGGGAAATAAGTTCCAAATAAGTTTGTGATATTTGCATAGTCCTTTCCTGGAAGACTTCTAATCCCTTATAAGTTATTCAAACTAACTACACTATACTGCAAACCCGCCAAAAGTGGTGTCTGTGTTCCTCACACACACAGAGTTGCTGAAAATCATGCAAAAAGTTGGCAGTTAGGAAAGAAGGGGCGTTTGGAGTTACTTCCAAAAATTCATACTGTTGTTGAAGTATTGCATAAACCGAATTACTAGGTTTGCATTTCCTTCAGTAGATAGATCTTCACTCCAGCATTTCCATGCTACTGCCTGAACTACAAACTAACTTGCAAAGAACAACCAACATAGTGCCTTTTTCTTGATTTCAGGCATGTAATGCAAGTCACTTAAAGTCTGAAATTACAGTTATGTGTAATTAAGGGTTGCATATCAGGTAGAAAAACTTGTAGATACATAGAAATACTCAGAAGGCTGAGTATTTGACTTGCAATGTTTCCAATGAGATTAAAATACTTTTTCTTTCTTTTTCTTTCTCCATGACCCCACAGTGGAAATATGACCACATGTCAGCAACATACCTCTTACTTCTATCCAAGAAGACTCGTGGCAAGCGTGTTCGTTTAAGGTTTCCATGTCGAACAGAGCATGCCAGTACCGTGATGTCGACAGTCCTTGAGGTAAACTTGAGTTCAGCAGGACAGCATCTTGCTTAAAATCCAGGTCTGCATTGACAAAGCTCTGCCTGGGGAGACATTCTGGTGCTCTAAACATCAGGAAGAGAGCATAAGTCTGAGTATAGCTCAACTGGTTAGAGCATGGTGGTAATAACACCACAGTGGTTTTGATCCTTGTACAGCTATTCTGGTTTGAAAGCAGAATCAGTGAGATACTCCAAGTCAGAAATACAATTTATTAGGAAAAGGGGGGAAAAAATCAAACAAACCATAATGCATGCAATAATACAAAAGAAAAACCACTGACAGAGTCAGAATACAACCTGACACCCTGTTGGTCAGGGTGTTTGTTGGTAGCAGTCCAGTTGGATTGGTGCCTGCAGTCCTTCTAGAGTGCCAGATGTGGTTCTGTTGGAGCAGTGATCCTGAAGAAGGGTGTAGTCCTCTTCGGAAGATCCAGTGGAAAAGGCAGCCTTTCTTCTGGGAATCCAGTGGAAGGACTGCTTGTTGTGTCCCAAAACCCCAGATTATATCCAGAAGGGGATATAATGATGCTCCCTGCGCGGAGCATCTCACAAAGTGTTATCATCATTCTATTAGTCATGCGGTGGGTCCATTCAACAGAAAATGGCTCCTGGAGAGAGTTGTCTCTGACTCATGTGGAAAGGTGTTGTTGGGCCCATTAACAGGAGATAAGGAAAAAACAATGCCCCTCCTGGTTTCAACAGCTCTTGAGGATGGGAATAGAATACATCTGTATATTGTAACCTAGGACAACAGCCCATTCACTTGAGTTGGACTTGGTGATCTTTGAGGGTCGCTTCCATTTCAAAATATTCTGTGAACTACACAGTCAGCCAAAGTCTTGGGCATTAAAGAGTTCAGTCTCATTAACATGATTTAGCAAGCTAGGCTGCTTCTCTGGATTGGCTTTACTATAATAGTCATCTGTGAGGATTTGATGCATCAAGTATCACACAGAATCCCTCTTTGCTAATGAGCTCAAGTCCCCTCTTTTGTGGCCTCGATGATTCCACATCTTGTTCTGTGATGACTAACTGCACTCTGTTTGTCTTTGTTTTTTTCTGCCTTGAGGGTTGCATTTGGTAAGGAAAATCTTTTGCTACCTCATGATATGTCACCTGGGCAGTGTTCTCTGAGATGACATAGGCACTGTGGGAGCTGGTGATCAAATCAGAGGGAGTCATCCCTTTCTCATCTGTTTCACTTGAGAACATAATCCTATACAGGAAGCTGTTTACTTTGAGTAAAGTAAATGTGTTGCTGCTGTTTTTCTGATTATTGGGATTCTGAAGTAGTTTTGTATCTTAGGGAAATTTCTATTCCTGTAGTTTGGTAGTGATAGGGCCTTTCAGAAGGTGGCTAGAGTTGCTAAATTCCTTGTAATGTTGTATATAATACACAAATATATGTGACATCAGCCATACTAGTCTATTCAACAAATTCCAAAGCATTCAGTGGAGTTGCAGACTTGTATAAGCTGTTTCCCCTTGAGATACAACATCTGTGAAATGGTCTGAGTATGCTTTCTGTGTTAGCAGCAAGCACTCAGAATAAACACTTTGTGTATCTGATTCAGTTGCGTGTAAATCATTTCAGTTCACCCATACAGCTTTTTTGCTATGAGAATTCTAGGACTACTAGAGCTGCATAATAGATCATGAATTGCAAGTTTTCCTGAATATACATAATGTGATTTCCATGGTCATGGTGGGTTAGCCTTCTACACTCTGATGATTAAGGTGGTGGTGTGCTAGGTTCAGTTGTGCTGAACTGTGAAGCTACTTCATCTCTAGTAATGTCCAAGGTAAATTGGCAAACGCTAATAATTAACATCTGCATTATGCCTTCCCAGATGATGGTGAAATTCATGTCTACACAATGCAGCAATCCGTTAGTCCTCCTGCAGTGCTCAGAACACATTTAACTTGCCTACGCATAGCTCCCAGGTGAACATCAACTGAATTTGCTAAAACACCCAGCTAGCAAAACTCTCTAGCTGGACCTGATCTAATGTGAAGACAACCAAGCAAACAGAACCTTTTACTTAGCCATTTCTGAATTTGGTGGCACAAGCTTGTATGTAATACTGCTTGACTTCAAGCAGTTTAATGCAAAAGAATATTGCAAAATAGTCACTGTGCCATGAATTACATCTAGAACACAGCAGCTGAGGTATCCTAATCATGCATTCATGTTTAACGGAATGTGCTTTCAACTCAGTATCAGCTTCTTGTAGTTAGCAAACCTCTGGTCAGGGCTTTTCAGTAAGGCATCATATAAGCTCTAGAGTTTATCAGACAGCTCTCTATTCCAGTAGTAATGAGAGATCTGCTCATTGTGATATCCTTGATCATGGGGCCACAGAAACTTTCCTACCAGCAGAACATAGGTTACTAAAATGTCATCCATTCCAGCTTTTTTATAATGGTGTCCATTTCAGCCAAAGACTGACAATTTGAAATGACTGTGTATAGTTTCACTGTAATGGTATGAAGCAAGTCCTTGGGAAGAGCTTCCTGTAAGTAACAAAACTATGTTAGAGAGTAAGGATGCTTTGATGTATACCTGCTTGTATGTGATGTGAACCATGAAGGTTAGCAACCTTGGCTGAAGTTACGAATCCCTTGATTTAATAACTGACAGCTTTTGGGGAGGGCAGAGCTAGCCATCAGATGAGGGGTTTCAAATGCTAGTTCCAATTAGTATTGTGGATTCAGTAGTCATATGTTTTGGATATATGTGTTTACCTTTATCCAGCCCCTTTTAAACATTACTCCATTCTTCTCTTGGACTCTTTCCAAATTATTACTAGGACTTCTGATAAAAAGAGGTTGTGACCCAAGCCTTGAACTCAAAGATGGCTATTTCTGTGAGTTGCTTCTCTTCATGACACCAGTCAAGAAAGATGATTTGGCAATGATGCTTTGAGAATAGTTTCACATCTGTTTTTGATACAAATGACAAATCTACAACAACATTAAAGTCATATTATAAAACCTAGGTTGCCATCATGGGAACTTTCATTATTAGGAACTGATTTAGACTTTAATGGTACTCTTTTCTGATGAAATCTTACTTTTAAGTGTACAGTGGAATCTCAACTGAATATTTCTTTTCAGTATGAAAAAACTGTGATGTGTGAAAATATGCCAGAGTGCAGTGAAGTGCCATGGGCATTTGTATTAATGGAATTTACGGACACAGCTTCACTGTTTAAAGAATCTCCATTAGAAAAATTTGGTATAAATACTCATGGATTGAAGCAGGTGTTTGATACAGTGTTCTTAATCCAAAATATCTTATTTTCATTCTAAATAAAAATTAGTGGATATGGAAATATTTGGTAGACCCTAGCCTAGTGGAGTTACAAATGGACTAAAGAAGTTTTTTAAATATATAGGTGAACATACATTTTGCCTTCCTCTAGCTGTAGGTAATTTGACTAAAACTTGAGCTTTGATCATCTAGAAAATGAGTAAATAAGGATTTTAAAACCAAATGGGAAAAATAATGTGCAACAAACAAGGTCTCAGACCTATGCTAGAGTTGGACAAGTCTCTGAAGAAGTGCAGCCTCTTTATATTGGACAGGAAAATCAAATGAAGCAATGAAAATTTTACAATTAAACCAAATGGAAATTCCTAGCTGTGCTTAGGTGAGCTGGTGAGGAATAGCCTTAAATGTGCAAGCTAAAGAATTTAGAAGAGCTGGTAAAGAAGCGGCAAATTACTTGCAAACCTTATAAGCAAGTTGTAGAGGGAATCAGAAGTATTGAAGAGTTTTTAAGCATTGCTCTATAGTCAAGCATTGTATGATATTTTTACCCTGCTTCAGGATTTCCGTGTCTGTAAAGTTCCTGAATGTGATCAGAATACAACAAAGGATGGCTTTTTTCTTTTTGTTACATCTCTTGTAGCATTCAAGGCCTGATGCCCAACTGGAGGATACGGAATTCACACTGTCAACTCCAGTGAACAGAAAAGTGGCATCAAAGAAGCATAAAAACAAAGAGAATGTTGAGACAGTGTCAGCTTTAAGAAATGAAACGCCCTTTGCGCTTCCTGCTCCTAAGACTCCTCTTGCAAAGAGTCAGATTGAGACACAGGTACAAGCCGTTCCCCTTCAGGCACCTGCTTTCAAAGGTATGTAGAACGTAACTAATGAAAGCTTAGAATATGTATGTTGCTTGGGAATCAGTGAAACTCAAATATAAGCACAATATTTCTTCATCCAATACATCTATGAAACACTTATGCAACACCCAGTTTGTTCTAGTACATCTGGTAGGGTGCTGCAAGAGTCTTAACCATCCATCAGGGCATGTTGCATTGCTGCTCACAATTATCAAGTGTGAGCCCCTTTTGGTATACCCTAACAAGGAGCCAAGCACTCCATTGTTGTTAAAGTTTGCACCTGGTTCAACTTTTCCATGAAGGTTGAGATTGCAGTTTCCTCAACACTGTTTTTCCTTTGTGATTATCTTGAGTGAAAATAAAAGCGTACTTTTAAAAATTAAAGCATACTGCTTTCATTGCTTGTTCTAAGAGAAATCTAGCTTTTGGATTTCTTATGGTTGCATATCTGCATTTTCACAGGGGGAGTCCAGTATAGCAGTGAAAATGCTTCTGTGAACAAGATGCAGGTGTTGCAGCTATGCAATAGACCACAGAAATCTGTATAAATTTTGTCAGCTTTTCTGAGTTACCAGAACTTTCTGTCATCAGTCTGTCTAGTCATCTACATATCCCATATGTTCATTACCATTTCATTCAATGATTACCATTATAGTTTTGGTGTTGATACTGTAAATGCTAGCTCTCACCTTCAAATGCCAAAGGAGACGCATTTCAGGTGCTAAGGAGCATTGGTTCAGGAACAGTAAGTCTTTGCAGGCTGATCTGAGGAATAAGGGATTTTGAACATACTGCTATTTAATGAGATCATTTATAAAGAACAGCAATACAAAAACTAGTTTATGAGTTTGCCTTAAGATTGTACATAACTTATAAGTCTGACATCTGTGTATGTCTAAAAATAAAAAAGATACTATCCAAAATGGGAAATGTAGAAACACTTCTAGCTCATTTATTTATTGACGTTTCTGAGGATTAAAGAAAGTTAATTCTTCACTGTGTTGAAAGATCTTTGATTCAGGAAATAGAGAAGTGGAAGTGGAAGAATGATATTCACTGGAAATTTTGAGGTTGTTTGTCTGGAGCCAGGTGCAATTCCATAGAGAGCTGAAACTTTGAACATTGAAGTTGGGTTTAATTGTGACAACTTCTTTGCTGACTGTTTCACTTGGTGTTTTCTCCTGCGCATTTAAAACCATGCTCTGCATACACTGACTTTTTACACTCTTGTGTGGCATGTACATTGTATATTACACATGATTATGTAAACTTACACCCTTCATATAAGGCGAACGGATCACTGAAGAACACAACTAGTCAATGCAGTGGATTGCTCCATATTTATTCATAGACCAGCAGCAGAGCAAGAAACCAATTCTAAGTCCTCAAATTTCTAATATTGAACTGCAATGGTTACTCCTAAGGTTTGACTTGTAGAGTATTTTCCCTGGGGAAATCAGTCACAGTTTTAATTTATAGAGTAGAGGTAGTATTAAAAACATATTTTATAATTCCCAAAATATAGACCTGAGATAGAAAAGGGGATCTGGTGTTAGAACTAAGTTGTTAATTATGAGAAATCGTCAGTGAAGAAAAGAAAATCATTTTACACAAAGACATATCTAGTTTGGCTTGGACATTTTCTTTCAGAGAGCCAGTTCACTGCAGTCACTCCAATTAGGAAACCTGCCAACCCAACAAATGCAGATGAATTGTCAGCAGCTGAGATTCTTCCTGAAGGAAGGTAAGTGTCCAGTTGTTTGTGTACATTCCTGATTAAGAGCAGGTCTACCTTAATCCATGTGCTGCCTGGGAAGCCCTGTTACAACAGCAAGCTGCTGTTCCTATTCTTTTGGTAAAAACCTTTCTAAAACCTCTTTTTACAGTCACTAGAAAATAATGAAGGTAGAAAAAAGTTTTAAAATTATGCAACTCAATACCATCTATTTTTCATAATGTACGTGCCTTCTTATTCCAGGTCTCCAAAGGACTGCAATTTCTAGATACATCTCTGGGTTTAAACTTCAACAGACTTACAAACAGAAACTCCTGTAATACATTGCACTTAATTTCATTTTCTTTGTTCTGTCATGTCTGCTGATATTTTAGTGACATCTTTGAAATAATAGTTTTTCAACACGGAGGGAAAAATAACATTAATTTGTTCATGTAACAGGTGTCAGTCAGTGGAATTAGATCTCAACCTTGCAGATGTGGATAGCAGCCAAAAGAAGAGAAAAGCCAAAATATTTGGAAGTCTTGAAAGAGGCCTAGATAAAGTGATCACAATGCTTACACCAAGCAAGAAGAAACGATGCACTAGAGACTGTCCAAGGAAACTTAAGGTATGGTTGCCGCAAAGGTCTTGCATAAAGGAGGTATTATTACAATATTAAGAAATTATATTAGTTATGTATTAATTGTTATCTTACAGTAATTATGATTGAAAACATCCAGTAGCTTCAGCAACAGTTTTGTGAAAGCTTCTGTGACCTGTCTTGCCTGAATTCTACAGTCAAGTGTTCTTACAGTATTGCTGATAACAAGACAGTGCCCCAGTTACCACATTCAGTTATCTGTTAGTCTGGCTTCAGGCAACAGATCCAGGGAGGTGTTTGGCCCTTGTTGCTTGTAGCCCATCTAAACCAAATATGAAGGAAGCAGCATGGTTTGAAAGGAGCCCTACTGGCCAATTTTTAATCATGTTATTTGTATAGACATGACTCACTAAAAGCCTTTTCTCATTCTACTGGAGAAAAGGCACGAAGTGTGCCCAGGTTAATGGCCTGTGCACAGGTGGGTGAATAAGAAGAGACAGTTAACAGGCTGTGCTGAACTAGGGGGCTGAAATGGACATAGTTGTGGCTTCAGAACCATCCACCTACAATGGAGACCATTGAGCAGGAGACACGTTGAGCCCTTGTGACCCACAAAAACAGTGCTCCAATTCCATTCCACATGGCAACATTCAGAGTGAAAGCACATATGTGGTGCTTTAAAGGTTTTAGATGTCCACAGGCAAGGTTACCATAAAAAGAAACATTGAGTACTTGCAGTGGGCAACTCTCTGTTAAAGGGCACAGAGACACCCATCTGCTGGCTTCATAAAGAGTGACAGGAAGTTTGCTGGCTACCAGACACTAGGATCCATTCCTTTGAAACCTGCTTTAGGGGACCCTGACTTGACAAGGGGATTGCATGATCTCCAGAGGTCCCTTCCAACCCTAGTGATTCTGTATACATCATTCAAATGCAACTTATATACTTCAGAAGCTATACAAGAAAAAAATTGTACTTGAATATTTAGGCAACATGTTTGAAAAACATAATAACCATGAAAGAGGGCAGGTTGTTTATCGAGGCATAAACAGTTGTGTAGAAGCCAATGATGTGCCCCTTCAACTGACTGGCTGCTGGAATACCTACTACACACTGAGAACTGTCTGTCAATCATGCATGTTCAGGACAAGATGTTGGGCTACAAACCTGACCAGCCGCTCAGACAGGAGTCTAGACTGTGCAAATAATCCAGGAAGCTAGATATTCTTTCTCTAAATGCCTTTAGTCTCCTGCCTCAGTTTCTCATGTCTATAGTCTATGCATGTCTAGAGACACTGTGCTACAGTATGGCAAGACAGTGTTACAGCAATTATGTCAGAGAGTTGCATACCTTTAAATCCATATAAGGACCATAGGAAGCACTCTTCTACTGACTTTGCATCCTCAATCTATGTGTATTTTTCAAGCTTTTTTTCAATCTTTTCTTCTCTTGGCTGCTTATGTGATGTCAGAAGCCAGATATAGGACATTTTGGTATGTTACCATTGTCATACTCTTCCTCCCAATATGTCTGGGCATCTGCTAATTGTTCAAGAGGTGATTTAGTGCACAAGATCGTTAAATGAAATACTAGATGTGATTAAAACCGCCTATAACAGTAAATTGAAAAGTAGTAAGTAACTTCTTTACACGTTAAAAGTTGCCTGGTGTATGTCCTGCTTCTTATCATCAGAGGCACTCTGTTTCAGCTTTTGGCCATTTCCCAGCTCTGGACCATACAGCAGGATGATAGTTTTGGGATATTGAAGCATTTGTCACCATGGTTAGCTGTTCTGAAACTTAGTGAAAACTTTTTGCAATGTCTTCAGTTTTAGGAGAGAGATTTTTTTTTTTTTAATTCCTTGTTTTAACAAGGCGATGTTACTTTCAATGTTACTTTTAGGCACACTGTAACATTACTACCACTCATCTGCTGAATCCAGATGAACTGTTGAATGAAATAATCATTGTTCTTTCAAAGAAGCATGTGGAATATGTTCAGAAGGGGTAAGTGTAAAATATGATTAGTTCAACGTGTATTTGCCTAAATGGTTGCTAGTCCAGTCCTTAAAAAGCAAAGTATTAAAACTTGGTTTCTTGACGCTATTGTAAAATAATCTTTATAGAAAGTGTACAAAGCACTAAACAAATGTATGCAATAAAACATGCCCAAACAGTGCAAAACTATGTTTAGTGTGTTATAGCAGAGCTCTTTCACCAACAGATATAAACCAATAGTAGCAGGGTAACATTTATGAAAAAATCACATCAACAGCTCATGTGAAATTTTAAATACCAAAAGTTCTTTTAGGTACAGTCACATAAACACATGGGACAATTTTGGAAAATAGTGTAGATACCTTTTAACTCTCATTCTTGGCAGATAAAAGACATTAGCCTTTTAGGCAAGAGGTCAGTCTGTTTTAAAAGGTGTGCAGAAGCCACACAGCTTTTTGTGGATTATTTGAATTTGTACTGTTTACTAGCTATGCTAAGCTACTGATTGGTTCAATTGGTTCTTACTTTTGATCAAACTGAAAGACTATTTCCTCAGTTCCCAATGCATGAAATAACCATTATGCTTGCTTTTCAATATGCATTTTCTCAAATTCTTGAGTATTTCAGTGTTGGGTAGTGCTAGAACATCAGAGTATACATCAACCTCTGATGTATTTCCAAACTCATAATATGAAAGGATACTGGATTGCACAGCAGCACCTGCTTCCATTGTAATAATTCAAGATCTGTATTCAGTTTTTCCTATTTTCACAGTGGCTGAGCTGCAGCCAACAGAGAGGAGAGTGTTCTTGTTTAGAAAAAACATGGGAACTTTCCATTGTTCCAGCTCTGAGGAGAAGGGCCTTTGGCTAGCAGGGGCTCTTGTGGCATTGTAGGACATTGGTGCTGCATATTGGTTCTAGGGCATAATAATAAATATGGTGCCCTGAAACCACAGTATTTACAAAGCTCTCAGATGACTAAATTGTGGACTGTTTCACAATATTCTGAACAGCAATGGGGTATTTTATTTAAAGTGCTTCTATTGATGTAAAATAGCATTGCAAAACAAATATAAAATGTTTCTGCTTTCCTTCTTTACAGTTATACCCTGAAATGTCAAACACGGTCAGATTTTGGCAAAGTAACTATGGAGTTTGAGTTAGAAGTATGTCAGCTCACTAAGCCTGAAGCAGTGGGTATCCGACGACAACGGCTTAAAGGTGATGCCTGGGTCTACAAGAGGCTGATAGAAGACATCTTATCTAGCTGCCAAGTGTGAGTGGCAGAGTCTTTTATCACGATGTTTTAGAAAGGTCTTTTCAGACAAGTAATTCTTTATCACCGTCACAGCTATATGTGAAAAATCTGTCATCTTGGGTTTTTAACCTCTCCTTGTACATATTCCTTCTGTATGCTTCCTTTAATATTAGGTTTTAATAAATATTCTGCAACTGCAACTTTTCTGAAACAAAATTCTGTAAGCCATTCCCTTGCTTATGTACTTTTAACATATCCGGGTTTAAAAAGTGGTGGTTTTATGTGCTGAAGCTTATTGTGGGATGTCTTCAGTTATCAAGTGCATGGTGCACAGTAATAGTCATTTGCATAATTCTCTTCCTGTCTCTGCTTAAGTAGGATTTATTGAGATCATTAACTAAGTCACAGCTGTGGTTCCTAGAGTTCCACTATATGCTCAGTGTTGTACAAAATAGGCTGGGCTTCAGTAAATGTGAAGTCAAGAGTGCTAGGATTTAAACTGATCCCTTATAAAGCATTGTGCTATCATGTTATGAAGCCTCAGTGATGCTTAACAAGCCTGTGCGCTTTCTCATGCTCTTGTGTTAACATGATGATAGGAGGATCTCTGAAGAACACCACCACCTTTGAACTGTTCTGAATAGAGAAGGCATTTGTCAGTCAACTGTCTACAAGGAATTCAGTGACGCCTTTAAGATAACTTAAGCACCAGAAATAAAACTAGAAATACTCAGAACAAAGCAAGAACATCTAAGAGTTGGTTGGGGGGTTGCTATCATATCTTAAAAACAGATGCGTATCTCCTTATGCTTGTGCCAGGTGTTATGTGGAGTGTTTAATTCTGCCTTTAGTTCTGCTACATCAGAAACCACACCAGGCCAATCCCAAGCAGCAGCAGCAGGAAGACACACGTTGAAGCCTTTCTCTATGCAATGACATTCAGTAATACATAGACAAGTTGACAGTGTACTGAAGCTTTTTCTTAAATAGGAGTTAGCCGCCATTTGCTGCATGTAAACCCCCCATTACTCCTCCCTAAATAAAGCTTGAGGCACATCCACCAAAGAGTTTAGTGGGCGAGAGGGCTGAGCATTGCTGGAAGCTTGTATTGAGATATGTGAGATCTGGCTGCTAATGAAAGCTGTCTGCTTGTTCTCTATGACCATTACCTCAGCAACTGGAGGGTTATTTTGTCTGTATCAAGATAGAAACATTCATCTATTTTGTTTCCAATGCCAGCTTGTCCGGTTGCTGCTTTATAGACAGGTAAAGGAACAGGAACATTTATAGCAGATTTCAAGGAAAAGAAATGTTGGGAAGGAAGGAGAGCGAAGAGAGAACTGCTGCTCCTTTAAGTGTTTCTGGTCAGGAACATTTCAGGTGCAGAAGGGACTAGTAGGAAAAGCGGGACAACATGAACAATGACACAAACCCACTAGAGAGATGGTGAGAGAGGTAGTAATGATAGCCAGGGGTGGCTGGTCCCATTAATTAATAAGAGGGTGTGGAATGTTACCACTTTGGAAAGGTTATCTAATCAAGGACCTTGTCAGATGGGATACTAAGGAAAATTCGGGAAAGTCAGAAATTAAAACAGAGGGATGTAAATCTGACAGGCGTCCTTCAAGAGGAGTAGGACTTTATGGTTTTGATTCCCTTCAATTTGAAATATTTTATGTCTAGTCTGTGACAGAAAGACAACAAAACAACCCTGTCAATCACATCTAGTGCAGAGGCTCTGGGGAAACTGCATTAAAACAGAACTTTTCACTTAGTGAGGCTGGAATCTTGAAGGTCTAGAGTGTTGAGAGTGGTGGTGCAATGGTGCCAACTGATGGAGCAATGCACAGAGGTCAGCCTGGTGCTGACTATGCCTTCCCCAACCCAGGTCTGTACATATATTCCCCAGCAAATGAGAAACGACCAGCAAGAAAGTGGGAGGCCTCAGGTCTGGGCAGGGGTATCACATGGGCAGAGGGTGGGTGCTGGTTTTGAGGGGGACACAGAAGCCTGGAGTGTGCCCATTCAGCACTTGCACACTGCCACTGGGCCAGTGTGCAAGTGCTGAATGCTTGCAGTGAGCACCACACTGAACCAGATGGTGAGTAGGGGACCCATATGTGTCAGGGTCCAGAATAGGTTCTGGGGTACTCTTTACTACGCCTGTGCTGTAGTAGGCAACTATGCTCTTGACATCCATTAACTGCTAGTACTGAAGTGTGAATGGTGATGCCATTCCTCCTGTGCAGATGCCAGTGCGGATCTCATATGTAGTGCATGACTGGCACATGAATTAAAAATTTGTGTTGGTAAAAGCAGAGCTAGCTTATTTTTCTAATAAATAGGTACTTAAAGATTTACATCAGCACTTAAATACTTTCAGTATAATCAGCAGCAACGTGACACTCCTGTTTGGTTTCTGCATGCTGAAATTTGAATCCGCAAAATATCAGATATCCACTGGAAATCAGCTAAACTTTTGCTGGAGCAGCTGAGGTTTGTAGCTGATGTGTATCTGGAGTGCTGCAGTATCATGTGATCTCTGATTTTCCTTGCTTTCTTTTTCAATACAAACTTCTCCCCAAGAATTTAGCTTCTGCCTGGAATTTGATCAAAATTAAGAAAGGATAGAAGATGGAAGAGCTGTTAGAAGGAGGCATATTGATAGCAGTTTTGCTAATGAATAGCATGACATTTTAAATCACCAGTCACAGTCAAAAAGCGCAAAGACTGAAGAATTGAAACATTTACTTGCCTTTCCATTCCTTGAGTTTTAAATACAGGAATGACTACAGAAGTATCCTGTAATACCCCAACTGCCACTGCTCAAAAGCACATTCTCTGTGTGTAACTATCTTCTCCCCATGGTGACAAAACTGATGTTGTGAACAGACAAGAAGTAATTAGCATGTCTTGTTCATTCTTTTTAAGCTAAAGATCACTGATTTGATTCACATTGTCTTACAAGCTTTGATGTGTGAAATAAGGTTCTTCTTCATAGGCTACCATCCTGACTTTTTTTACTAATATTCCTTTCTGTGAATGCATAACATTTGGTGATAGGAATTAGAAAAGAGGCAAGAAACAGGAAGCATGTATGCCTTTTTTTTTAAAACCGAACGGCTGTTTCTACATCACTAATTTTTTCTTACTAACATTGCTGGAAATCTATTTCCACCTGACATCAGTACTGCCGGCCAGGTCTATGAAAAATCACAAACGGGACGGGACTGCTGAGGAATGCATCTTGAGTTGTTTGTTTTCCAGCATCAGTCTCATTACATGGTTATGACAATAGGAAGATGCCAGCAGCTTACATCCCCAGCAGCAGACCGAGAATTCAATGTTACAACTTACATTAAAATTTTTTTGACTAATCACGCAAATCAAAAGCATATTGACGATAGTTCTGTCTATCCAACTACTATAAGCACACGGTCTTTTTGTTAAAACATGCTTGCTTATTTTGGATATACTTGTTTGTAAGTCTTAAAATATAATGTACAGAGCTCCATTATCAAGCTTAGGACTTCCTAATATCTTGTTAGATATACTTTTCTGTAGCTTAGGGAGTTATTCTAGACAAGCGTTAATACATAGTCCATTGTTCTATTTGCCCTTACTTTCTACTTATATAATTTTTCTGCTGACAAATCTTATGGCTGCTGCTTAGCTCTAATCTCAGTTTTACAGTCTCTGAGGCCTGTCTTTTGCAACTTTCCCAAAACCTTCTGATTTTAAGGATTCCCACAATTCCCCCTCCCAAAAACAAAAGCAAGGATTAACAAATAAAGGAGCTATGTGGATGAGCAGAAGCATGGGTTGTGTGCCAAGCTTCTGGAAGCCTTTGCACAGACAAACACAGGGCCAGAAGGTTTGTCTTGTCAGCCTGCATTCGCTCACCTAGGTGGTATAATGTCATGAGTATCTGTCAGTCTTTAAAGCGTGCTTGCTTTGCTATTGCTAGGGATGTGTACTAATGTCAGTCCCTTGGAATTTCTTTTGGAATCTAAACTCCATTTACATTCATTATTGTCCTGGTTTGGGCTGGAATAGAGTTTATTGTACCAGGAGCTGGTACAATGCCGTGTTTTGGGTTTAGGAGGAGGATAACTTTGGTTACACATATATATTTTAGCTGTTGCTGGACATGCTTAACCTAAGTCAAGGGCTTTTCAGCTTCTCATGCTCTGATAGTGAGCAGTCCAGGGGGCACAAGGATTTGGGAGGGGGCACAGCCAGGGTAGCCAAGCCCAACTGACCCAAGGGATATCTCCAGCCATAGGGTGTCATTGTCAGCATTTCACCCTGAGGGGATGTTGTGGCTTGACACTGGCCAAATGCCAGGCATCCATAAAAGCCACTCTCACATCCTCCCCTGCTGCAGCTGGGCAGAGGAGAGAAAATTTAATGAAGGGTTCATGAGCTGAGATAAGGATCAGGAAAAAACACTACAAAGGCAAAATGGGCTGAATTTAGAAATATTAAGTGAATTTATTACTATCAAAATCAGTGCAGTAAAATGAGAAATAAAACAAGCCCTTAAAAATACCCTTTTCCCCCTAACACTTCCCTCCTTCCCACCAACAGTGAAGGGAGATGACATGGAGGTCAGCTCGTCACACAAGGTTTTCTTCTGCTTGGCTTAGGGAGAGAAGTCATTCCTCTGTGAGACCATGGTCTCCCTTCCCATAGGAGGCAGTTATCTGAGAATTTCTCCAGTGTGGGTCCCATCTCACAAGCAGCAGTCCTCCCAAAATGGCTGGAGGGACACTCTTCTGTGAGGTGCAGTCCTCCAAGGACAGGCTGCTCCAGTTTGGAAGCAGAGGTCCCTTCTCACCACCAGGTCTCCTACTGCATCACAGCCTCCTCTGGGCATCTACCTGCTCTGGCATGGACACCTTCTCCAAGAACTGCAGGTGGATCTGGGCATCCCTATGGGCTGCGGGTGGATCTGTACATCCCCCGTGGATCCCCATGGGCTGCAGCCACACAGTTGTTTCACCATGGTCATCACCATGGCCTGCAAAGGAATGTCGGCCAGGAGCCTGGAGTGCCTGGAGCACTCCTCCCCGTCCTTCTGCATTGACCTTGGTGTCTTCATGTTGTTCCTCTCACAGGTTCTCACCTTCTCTTCTATAGCTAGAATTAAAACTGCATCACCACCTTTGTTTTTGATTTCTTCTTAAATATGTTATTACAGAAGCGTTATCATTATCTCTTATTGGCTCAGCCTTGGCCAGCAGCATATCCATCCTCAGAGCCATCAGGAATTGTTTCTGCCAGACATGGTGGAAGCATCTAGCAATTTCACACAGAAGCCACCTCTGTGGCCCCCATGCTACCAAAATTAGGCCATGCAAAACCAACACAAAGAAATAAGAAGGGAGGGACAGCATTTGTATTCTTGAGTTCTGGTTAGGCATGAAGGAGTCTTGTCATGGCTGAGCACCTTCCTGCCCATGGAAAGGGGGGATTTAATCTCTTGATTTACTCTTGTGCTTTTTCTTTGTATAGTAAACTGTCCTGATCTCAAGCCAAGGGCTTTAACTTTTACCCTCCCATTTCTTTCCCCCATCTCACTGAGAGCAAGTGGCTGTATGAGCTGTCAGCTGTGATGAAATCATGGCAATTGTACATGAACATGGTCTTGACATTACCATTGTGCTTAAGTCTTATCTCTTGATGATGCTACCATTTGTCCAAGTATATGAGTCATTACAACTTATCAATGAATGATTTGTAAGACTGAATTTACCAAACTTTGGGGCCTTTTCTTGACTCTCCATTTCATCATCCCAGTGTTGAGGTGATCTTGGTTCATCTTGTTTTAAAAGAAGGTAGTCCCATTCTTGTAAGTCCCTGTATGGATTTCATGCAATAGCCACACTCCT